GGCGTACCTACCATGTAACGATGAACCGATGAGGAGGCTGGTGACGCAACTGGACAAGACACTCGCCGACATGCAAACGAGCAAGGCAATAAGTAAATCGGTACGACTGGCCATTAAGCCAGTAGACGCGATCGCACCAAGGTTCGGTTAGATGATACTTGGTAGCCCTCCTGACACCGCAAACTCCCAGCTGCCTATCAATCGGGACCGGTGGTAATAGGGGCCATACGGGTGGGACAGTTGAGTGGACGGGTAAATGGCGATTGTAGTATATGCTAGGAGTTGATGCTCCAGGTAAAGTGGAAGCCTAATTTAGATAAGGTGAAAAATACAAGGAAGGTATGGAAATGAGCAAGGAGACTTTGAACGATGTGCGGAATAAATGCTTCCTAGCCTCAGATTGGAAAGAAAAGAATGTGATGGCGAACAACCAATGGGAAGAAGGCAACTGGTCCGAAGGTCATTCCGCAGTGTTTGCGATAGAACTCCATCCAACATAATGGACAGAAGAACACGAGACTCAAGCAGCGGCACGCGGGACGCCACAACGTAAGCCGGGTAAGACTTTTATGCGAAAAATTGGTTTGGGCGGAAGAGACAATCCGCAAATAATGAGGCAGTCGAAAGCTACCCCTGCCAATGAAAGTTGCTAAAGGGTAAGCCTCATTGTCATCGTTACCGGTGCCAATCCGCCCAAGATAGTACCTCTACAATGAATAAGGCAGTCAAAAGCTACCTCTTCTTATGAAAGTTGATGTAGGGAAAGCCTCATTGTCATCGTTACCGGTGCCAATCCGCCCAGGATAATACCTCCACAATGAATCTGGTACAGGTAATACAGCGTAAATTTAGAAGCATAATGAGAACGTAATCATAGCTACTGAAATCAAGCCAGTAGGTACAATTGTGGATTCTGTGGGCACGGCAGCCAACTACCTATCCTAATGAAAGTTGACATAAGGTAAGCCTCATTGTCATCGTTACCGGTGCAAATCTGCCCAGGATAGCACCTCTAAAATGAATCTGATACAGTTAATACATCGTGCGCGTGAGTTAAAAAGCATAATGAGAACGCGATCACAGCCACTGAAATCGAGCCAGTAGGTACAATTGGAGAGTCTGTGGGCACGGCTACCAACTATCATCGTACCCAAGGTTCTACGGACTACCAAAGGTACACAAAGCCGGGGTGCCCCTCCGGCCAATCGTATCATTGCGCGGCGCACCTACATTCAATTTGGCCAAATGGCTGTTCCGAAACCTGAGGTCTCTCACCTCGGACGCGGGCACGACGGTCTGTTCAGCGACTCCGTTCCTGGAGCAGATCAAAGGGATGAGACTTACCGAAGACGAGGTCATGGTGTCATTCGACGTCACCTCTCTTTTCACCTCGATCCCGCAAGACCTGGCAATCGAAACGGTCAGCGAGCTGCTCGAGAGTCAGTACAAGACGGACGTGACGGTAAAAAGGAGACATCTCGTCCAATTGCTGAGATTCTGCCTGAAGACGTACTTTACCTTTGAAGGCACGACCTACGAGCAGGTCAAGGGGACGCCAATGGGATCGCCGCTCTCGGGCTTCATTGCAGAGGCAGTTCTCCAAAAAGTAGAGACCCTCGTTTTCTCAACCTATAAGCCGAAATTTTGGGCTCGATATGTCGATGATACCTTCGTTATCATTAAGCGGCAAATGGTCAAGGAATTCCATGATGTCCTGAACTCTGTTTTCCCTTACATCCAGTTCACAATGGAGGCGGAAGTCAACAATCAACTCCCGTTCCTGGACGTTCTCGTCCATCGAAAACCCAATGGGCACCTTAAAACGACGGTATATAGGAAGGCCACTAATACGCGCCAAATCCTGAGCTTCCACAGTAAGCCCCCGTTAGGCCACAAACGCAGTTGTGTGCGAACACTCTACAGAAGGGCAAAAACACACTGCAGCGAGCCGGACGACAGAAGGTCAGAACTACGCTACCTCCAGCGCCTCTTCATGGCCAACGGGTATCCTCGCAACTTCATCGAACGCGGCAGACAGGCCGGACCGAGCCGACGTTTGGTGACAGAACAAACAACAATATGGCGGGCGCTTCCATACATCGACGGCGTTGTTGAGGCCGTCTCGCGTCTCTTAAGACCGCTGGCGATCGGCATCGCCCACCGACCGGAGTCAACAATTCGACATCTGGTCATGAGACCTAAGGCCCCTCTGCCACTAGGTGAAACCACGAACGTCATCTACCGGATCCGGTGTAACTCCTGCGAAGTCAACTACATTGGGGAGACCGGCAAACGGCTACAGACTCGTGTTGGAGAACACACGAGGGCAGTAAGAAAAATGGACCCTTTGTCTCTGGTGGCCGAACACTGCGCCGATGCCGGACACACGTTCGCCTTTCAGCATGCCGAAATTCTGGGCCGGTGAAACGATCGCATAGCCAGGGAAACAATCGAGGCTTGGCACACGGGGACAACCTCCATCAACCGCTGTGTGGCTCTTCCCGCTG